CCATCTCGACCCCCGCTCCCCCGCGTCGCCCTGTGTCCTGCCCTTCGCCCCCTCACTGCCTCTCTCTGCCTTCACCTCCGCGCCCCTCCCCACCCCACCAGGTGTATATGGGGCTCTGTCCATCTCTCCGTGTCTGCCCCTCTTTCCCTTTTCCGGTTTGTCCCTCCCTCCTTCTCTCCCCGACTCCCCCCTGTCGTCGTCCTTCTCCATCACTCCTCTCTCCTCCCCACCCCACCCACCCCGCCCGAAGTCCTCAGGCGGGTCTGCAGCCCCTGCCGCGGTTTGCAGGGCCCCAGAGGACTGGGCAAGGGGACGGTGGGCTCCTGTTACTGATTACAAGTCTGGGCCTGGGAGGGGGGACCTCAGCCACACGCAGCGGCACCCAGGACCAAGAGGCCTTCAGGGCTCCACCCGGGGGCCTGAAACCCCTCCGCGGGCAGCCGGGCCTCAGTGACAGCGCGCAAGGCACCCAAGAACGGTCCTGCGTTCTCCACGAACTCCTTTTCCTCAGCGGATCTGAGAATCTTTCCCTCACTTCAGGAGGTGGAGAAGATCCGGGACTCGGGCTGGGGTGGGGTGGAAACGGCCCCGGATTTGAATTCAGGACACCGGGTCTCTAAGCCCAGCTGGGACCCTAACTCTGATCTCTGGGCCGCTTACGGGTTTGAGATCCTGGGATTTGGGAAAAGGGCCCACAGGGGCATGCAGTGTTGAATGGGAAGCTTGAGGAAGCATCTCACCTCAGCGTCAAGAGCCAGAAATGGGGCTTCCTCTGGCTGCGCTGGGAACAGAACTGGGCCAGAGTAATACTAATAGAGAGACCCGACTTAATAGACGCTAGGTAGTCGTCTAAGACGATCTATGTATGTAGATATATACCTCAAGATACTCTAAATATATACTTTGAGTATATACTTTGAGTAAATGTATATGATTTATACTAAGTGTATACGAAAAGTAGATGAGATAGAGACTGGACACAGAGAGTGGAAGGTGCCCAAACAGCGAAAGTTTCATGAGCACTTACTATGTGCCAAGGTGGAGCTGAGAAATGTCCACCCCCTATCTCATTTACCCCCGGCCGTGTCCTTTGTGGCAGGAGGCAGCTGAGGCTTAGAAGGACTGAGGGACCCATCCGAAGTTCTAAGTCTCAGAGAGGCCACCTCTCAAAGGTCGGTAGGAGGTGTGTGAACCCACGGCGGGAATGAGCCCGCTGAACCTGACTGCGGGGTCCGCCAATGTATCAAGGCCAGCAGCAGCAACCTCCCCAGGGGAGCAGGCGGCGATAGGAGGAACCTGTCCTGCGCTCACGCTCAGCAAACGTGCACCTGCTGGCTGGGACCTGGCTTGTCCTCACCTACAGCAGGACCCACCCACACTGCCAGCCGCGCTCCATCAGGCTGTGGGGTGGCATGGCGGGGGTCATGGCAGTCGGTGGCTCCATTCCTAGTGTGGGGAGCGTTTCATCCCCTGTGTGCCTGAACGTGGGTAAAAGTGCGCGGAGAGGTGGAGAGGGAAAGGCGGCCAACGTTCGCCTTGACTCCGCCCCCCTGCCCCCAACCAGCAATGCAGCCCCGCCGCTAACCGATCCAATCCATCCAATCGCCATTCCTCCTCCTCTAACCGCGTGCTTCGGCTCATCTCCAACCCGAAAGGAGCGGGGAAACTGAGGCCTAAAGCGGTTGGCGCCAAGCGCGTGCGCGGGAAGCTGGCCAAGTTGCCGCATGCCCGCCAGGCAGGGACACGGCGAGCGGAAACCACAGTCCCGGGCCTCCAGAGAGACGCGGGGAGCGTGGCCAAGCGCGGCGCAGGCACCTCTGGGCCTTGAGCGAAGCCTAAGTCGGCCAAGTCGGCAAAAGAAGAAAGAAAAATCGCGGTTAGGGGCTGCTGTTGGGAAGCCGTGCATTCACCAAAAGCATCCGCGGGGGTCTAGGACTTCCTGGGTGCGGCTTGGGAATGGGGCCGGGCGGTGGGCACAGCCGGGAGGGCATGGAATCGAAATGGATTTGCTTCCGCAGCTCGGATC